CTATACTCGTTTCTACTGCATGATGAATCCTTGGCAATGGTAGATTATGAAGTTGTTTACTGAAGTTTAGTTCATCATTCCGGAATTTCTTTTGTGAAGATCTGTCTCATGCTGAAATTGAATTGGCTATGGTTTCCAATTTCCATTTCATGTGTTCGGAGGACTCATGAATTTGTAAAAATCGAAATAAATCAAACTGAAATAGTTTGGCTGAACATTGGAACGGTTACATGTTGGTTGGTACTTTTTGCTAGTACGCCAAATTTTAGGCGTGCCATAATTTCTTAGGCTGGCTAGTGTTTGGTGGATTCATAGGCCTTGTTTAATAGCCCTCCGGAATTTTGCTATTTAAGAATATTAAACGTAGATTACTGACAAAACCCATTCTATAACCCCTAGGCTATTTTGCGAGACGAATCTAACGAGGTATATTAATCCATGATTTGCTATAGTGATGTTACAATAATTAGCCGCTAATCATGGATTAATATACATCATTATATTCGTCTCGCAAAATAGCCTAGCGGCCTGTTTGGTTGGGGGGAGTTTTTAGGAGGGATTGGGAGTTTAGAGGGATGAGGCTATTAACTGTTTTGTTTGGTTGGGAGACAGAAATTTTGGTGGGATAGGGATGGGGAATTGATGAATGAACTCCCTCCTTTTCAATACCTGGGTAGGGGGTGGTAATTGGGAGGGAATTCCTCCTTTACTTTGCCTAAACAAATCTCAGCCATCCGTTTTCATTAATGACCTAATCTCCAACTAAACTCCCTATCAATTTCCACCATCTCTACCAAACAAGAGACTGGGATGAAAAATCAAATTCCCATCTTAATCTCACCATCAATTCCCTCGTGTAAACTCCCAATCCCCTTCCCTCAAGTTGTCAAACAAGCCGTAGGGATTATGGAATCGGTTTCGTCGGTAATCTACGTTTAATACTCCTAAATAGCAAGATTCCGGAGGGCTATTTAATAGCTCGGAGGATCCAAACAAGGCCATAGTTTCATACAGTCGAGACAATCCACACTTTGTTTTGCACAAAAAGTTTGTAACCAAAGCTTACCATACTTGTGCAAACGCATGGTTCTTTTCCGTAGTGCAAATGCATCGGTGTACGGTGTACCTTTTGTCTGGTACGCATGATTTTCATCACAAGAACAGTCTATAATTTACGCAGAATTGCAGAAACAAGCAGTTTCCAAATTGTCGTCCTTCTACATCTTACAGAGTTACAGTTAACAAAAACACAGCTTTGGAGTAGTAGTAGCAATTCCGTAACAAAAACACGTCAACCGCCTCAAGTCCAAACCGAACCGTCGCATATAATCGCATTCATTTCCGTCTGCCCGTCTCCACTCTCCAGTTCTAACTTCCCATTTCCCCCTCCACACGCGCGCGCGCGCTAACACACGCAGTCGACATGGGCCACGCATCCACCGACCCGTCGGCGTCCGATCACGACGCCCCGGCGCGCCGCCGCCGCCACCGGCGCCGCGGCCTTCTCCGATTCCGCCGGCACCGATCTCCGACCCCGCCCTCCGCCGACCCACCAACGCCAGAACTCACCCCGTCGCCCTCCGCGCCGCCCTCCTACTTCTCCTACCCGGACATCGCCGCCACCGCCTCCTACGTCGTGGTCGCCACTCTGCCGGTCTTCCGCGGCGACCCCGGCGAGTGCCCCGACGCCCACCTCGCCCGCTTCGACCGCGTCGTCAACAGCGCCACGTCGCCGGACGCCGCGGCGCGCACCTTCCCGGCGTCCCTCGACGGCGACGCGGCGCTGTGGTACGATCTCGCGGCCCCAGGCGCCGACGACTCGCCCCCGCCGTGGGACGCCGTACGTGCCGCCTTCCTCGACTTCTTCCGCCCTCCAGGCGCCGCCGACCGCGCGCGCGGGGACCTCCTGTCGATGAGGCAGCGCCCCGGCGAGCCCGTCAACCGGTACTACCTCCGCATGCAGGGCATCCTCCGGCGGTTCCCCGGCCGCGGCGGCGGAGGCGCGGACGTCCCCGAATCGTTCCTCAAGTCCGCGTTCGTCGACGGCCTCCTCCCCGAGTTCCACGACTGGGTGGCGCCGCAGCGTCCGGAGGCGCTGGACGTGGCCGTGGCGCTGGCCCTGAGCTGGGAGCGCGCCGAGAGCGTGCGCGAGGCGCGGCGCGCGGCGAAGGCGGCCCGGATGACCAAGTGCGAGTTCTGCGACACGGAAGGCCACGAGGAGGCGCAGTGCGAGACGCGGAGGAGGATGAGGGCGTTGTGCCTGAGGAGGAGCAGCAGCAGCAGGAGAGGAGGCGCCAGCGCCACCATGGTAGTGGAGGAGGCGGCGGAGGAGGAGGGGGGCGGGAGCATGAGGTTCGCGCGGCTCGGGAGCACGGTGAGCACGCGATCGGCGCAGTGCCAGTGCCGGAAGCATCAGTGCTGGAAGAAGGCGGTGGTGGTGAGTGAGCTCGCCGGAGACGGCGAAGGGCGATGATGCCGCCGGAGTGGCCGTGGACAAGTGAAGCAAGTGGTTTGTTCAGTACTGGAGTAGTTACTATATTAATGATCGATGTCATATCATGTTAGAACTTGAAGTAAACTATAATTCTTGTTCATTGTCGCAATCTCGCAGATAATTAGTCGATTTTGATATATATTTATCAACAAATTTTATCCTAAAAATGATTAAATGTAAATACAATATAATAAAATATAATTGTATTGTGATTAAATTATAACTTACATATATAACTTGTACTACATAACTTTCCCATAATTTTTGGCGGTTAGATTTACATCAGGATTCATGCAAGTTGGGGAGAAAAAAAAGGATGATATTTGGTCGCACGACCTCCGCTAAGCGAAAAATAACGTGTTACCCTAGGATTTTTAAAAGTTACAAATAAATTGTTTTGTAGTTATATACATACAAGTTACAAATATAATTACATTATGATTGAGGAGAAAATTTGTCGATATATGTATAGCAGCCCTAACTTATTTTTTGTTGTTACTCACCTTATTTTGAGAAAATTCCTCTGATTTATAGTGAAATCAAACCATTTAGGATGAGTGATCCATAGTGAAATCATCCTATAAAATTTAAGTAGTGACTCCATTTTTCATCCAACAAATTAGCATATGCCTTTGACGAATGAGGTGATGATGGTCTAACCCCATTGCCCTCGTCTCACCAGATCAAGATTTACAACTATGCAAATATGAGAACAACAAATGCAACATGTTAAGTGAAAATAAATGGGATTTCACTACTACATAGGAACATTCCAATATCAAATTTTACTACTTAGCAATTGAAGTATTAGAGAATAAGCTGTGAATCCTGATTTAGAGTGCAAGGGATTGCAACTATATGTGATGTTGTGTAGGAAGATGTATGTAGCGAATATCTTCTCCTGATAGGTGCCATTAAGACACTGACATGTGGACCCATATCAACATGGGCCTATATGCCGAGTTGCCGTTTATTATAGCAAAACTTTGGTTAAATATAGATGATCAAACTAAAATTTGGAATAGTATATTACTGACCATCACTGATTCGTTGTGTACTGAATTCCCTCCATTCCAAAATATAAGGCACAACTACCCTTAACCTAAAGACCAAGAAATGATTAATATCTCATTGTTATCATGGATTACCCTAATTAATACAATTCATGCAACCAATAGAACTAAAGATCTTGTGAGTATAGGATTTAAAATAATAATAATTTAGGGAAGAGAATGTGCTAATTAACTGAGCATCACCAAGAGAATGGCTAAATCTCATCCCCAAAAATCTGATTATGGGAATCCTAAAGAGAATTTGAAGTGTGAAAATAGTTCTTTCTCTAAGAGATTAGGTAAAATAAAATCCCTAAAATAAAAAAGTGGGTCCATACAAAACTACCATCAGGAATTAGTTTTTCCTCGTCTCGCGCCGCTCGGCGTCAGCAGAAGTTAAATAAAAGTATAGGATCAATCACATTGGCTATTGATTTAACCAGCTACAGAAACACTAAAATTGCAACGCTTTAATTTGTACGCTTAAACATCGTCAGTTTTTTACTTGCAACGAAGAACAGAAAAAAAAATGAAAAAAAAAGGGGAAAGAACATCTGCTTGCTGCGCCCGCAGAGGCCGTGAGCCCATGACGGCGACGTCCGCCAGCCACAACCACTCCGCGCCATGCTCGCTGCGCTGCCTCGTCTGAGAAGGACCATGCTGGCCGAGCCGCGCCCGCAGCGCCACACGGAGGTCGCCGCGCCCGTGCCCACGCCAGAGCCATCACATCATACCAAGGTCGGGCCAAACTCGCGCCGTCGCTGCCATCGCACGGTCTCACTTTGCAACCGCAGGGCCACGCCGCTCCTCGCCGCCGTCGTGGAAGATGGTGTCGCCGGTGGACGACCTAGAGCTGGCGGCATGATGAATCGAAAAGTCTGGGCTTGGGGGACATTGTGATGGATTCCTGGCCGGCCGCGTGAAAGATAGGGCCGCTGATGGACGACCTAGAGCCAGCAGCAGGACAAATCGAGGCGACGGCGGTACAACCTTGCGATGAAACTCTGGGCAGGAACATTTCGGAGATCATATAATGAGCGCGCGAACGGGTGATTGGGAGCGAGCGCAGCCGCCTACTTCTAGGGAGCGAAGACTCCGGAGATAGGAATCAGGATTTTGGGTTTCCTGTATAGGGCTACTGTTGGACCTTGTTTTTTTTTGTTCAAAACTCTAAAAAAATCTTGAATGGAAACCATTCCCAGATGCTGTTGGACAGTACCTGTGTAAAGATGATTTTTATCCTGAAATCTGGATGAGGAATATTTGGGGGCCTACTATACTTGCCAAGCGAGAGAGAGACCCCAGCACGGCAGAGAACCAAAAGCCCGGATCAGCCAAAACGAACGGCTCAGATCACACGCGCACACCACTATGAACGTCCCAGATCGGGCCGCCACCCCACCAGACGCATCGATCCCCGTGTCCAGAGCGTACTCTACGGCTACAAGTAACCCCCTCCTTCCCTTCCTCACCAGTCTCCCCCCCTCGCCTCGCATCCCACGCCTTCCCCCCCCCCATTCGTCGCCTCCTGTCCCGGGGGCCGCGAGCAAAACCCCCACCCCCAAATCGCAGCCTCGCTCAGCTCGATCTCTCTCTCGTCTCGCCATGGCCCCCAGCGACGACCTCGTCTACATGGCCAAGCTCGCCGAGCAGGCCGAGCGATACGACGGTACGCGATCCCCCCCGGCTCCCTCCTCCCCCCTGCCGTTCCTCCCTACCTCTGCTCGTGCTTGGGGGTTTTGTGGTGTTGTGCTGTGTGTGTGTTTTGGTGGCGATTCCGCTCGTGCTCGTTGTCGTTGGGTGATTCTGGTTGTGGTTTCGTGGTAATTGGTGTTGTGCTAGCTTCCGTGCGTTTGTTTTGGGAGGCGATTGGGACTTTGGGAGTTTTGGGATTAGTTCGCGTCTGTGTGCTCTGCGCCCGTTGGTGCACGGGGCGAGGGGTTTTCCGTTTTCTGGCTGGTTCATGTTTATGTTTCTGAAATGTTTGGATTGTGGGGGGGTAATGATTCGCGTCTTTGCTCTGGGTTAGGCTCGGCTGGATAGTGCTCTGTTGCGTGCGGAGAAATTGGGCGTGGAATGCAGCTTTTGTTTGGTAATCTCGTTTGGCGTTTCGACGCGTGGGAGTTGGTCGAGAGAACCAGGATGTTTGGTTGATTTGCGTTGATTCGGCGCCCTACGACTATGGCGCATGGATCTCGCACACACCGTCCATTTTTTGGGGTTTAACTGGGGTTTGCGATTTCGAGCCGTGTCCTGCGTCGCTGCTGCATCGGACGTGGATTAGGGTGTTTATGACTTGGGAGTCCCCTTGTGATTTCTACTCTGGGTTTAATCAGGGGTTTAACAATAGCAGGGTGATTTTGGTTTGGTTTGATTCAAACTGGTCGGGGTCGCGGTGTTACGAATGGGCAGATGCCATGGGATGAGCATTTCTACTGTTCCGTTTTACCCCGTATTGTTTTTGCTTTGGTCGTTATATTGGATTTCTGCTCAAATGTGCCAATGGATGCTAGGAGAGTTTTAATTTCATATAATTGAAAGACCAAGAACGGCTATAGAGGGGGGTTGAATATAGCAAATCAAAATTCGCCCTTGAAAATACTCATCAAACCAGTTTTCTCAAAATTCTTACTAGAATCGCGGCTATTGAAAAGCCGGACCTAGAAAATAAGAGAGAGGAGATTCCCGAAGCTAGAAGAGAGGTGAGGAGGAGATAGCAAAACTCGTCATCAGAAAATTCAAATCACAAGCGGAATTTAAAGTGCGGAAATTAAATAAACAAGGCAAAAACGAAATTCTTCAAATCATTTCATTCATAGGTGATGCAAAATAACCGCTCAACTAGGAGCAAACATACACCTTCAGAGGAACATTAACACAAACTTAAAAACCTCTCAGATAAACACACTCCAAACTAATCCTAATACAAAAGCCTCTCGGGCAAACACACTCCAAACTCACACCGAGACTATCTCACCGAGCATCTCAAAAAGAATTACAAAAGGAGCAACCTCCACCCTTGCATCCATCTCTCTATTTATAGCCTAAGACCCCTAAGACATTGTCTCATACCCCTAGGGCGAAACCCTACCCTGGACTTGATCTTAACCATCCGCTGTTCCTTAGACTCGAAGGAAGTAGTGCAGATTGCTGCCACGTAGTCGATCCGAGCTCCCCATGCTGTGCGGATCGGCGTGCTCATCACTTGCACCAATAGGAAGCCGCCACGCGGCCACGCAAGACCGTGCCTTGCCCCGCGCGCGCTCGCGAAACCGCGTGGGTCCCACGCGGGACTCCTCCGCAACGAACCAGTGAGCGCCACGTCGTCTTGGAGAGCGCCCTTGCCAATTCCCGTGGGCGCCTTCTCCTCCCGCGTGCGCTGTCCGAATTTGGCGTGGGTCCCGCGAGTAGTCGATCTCCCGCGCGAGAGCGCGCTGTCGAGTCCGCGCCTGCCGCGTGTCCCTCACACGCGCGCCGTCGCCGAAACCTCCTGCCTTGACGCCCTTGCTTTCCGAGTTGGGCCGTCGTTGCTTGGATCATGCTGGCCTGCTCCATATTGGACTGGGCCAGTCCGGTCCAGCCGTGTGGCATCCTGGCCGAGCCCATGATCATGATGGATTGGTGGCCTCCCTGCCAACCAATCACAGCACACATGCACATCACCTCGTGCATGCATGCAAGGCTACAGTGATCCCATTTACTGTAGCAAAAGTGCATTTATACAGTCACTTCTCCTTCCAATTTCTTCGTGAATCCCAACGCTTGCACTTGACCTTGCGAAGCTCGTTGTGAAGACCTCCTCACACAGTGTTCGTCCACCGTGTGCAACCTTGTGTCCAATCTTGTCACCCGGCATCCTTGATCGCTCTGGACCTCAACTCCTTCCTGAGTCTAGTCCCGATCCGCCGTTGACCAAGATCGACCCCGATCACCTGCACACACATGAACCAAACAACCGTTGTCTTGGCACAGATGTTGTAACCTGACCAATGTTAGTCCACGCACACACTTCTTGCATTTTCGGTACTTGTCAATTTCCCATCACAAAAGAACTATAACCACACATGGTTTCACAATCTCCCCCTTGATGGGAACATTGACAATCTCAAGCAAAAATTTGAAAATTTGATTTTTGATTCACAAAGCAAACCATTTTACAAAACTTGAACTTTGGTCATTTTGAAATCGCGAAAAATCAAGACCAAGTGACAAGAAGAAAAGGGATGCAAATGCAAATGCAAGAATGCTCCCCCTATGTGCCAAACTCCCCCTTTCACCAAGATCTAAAGCAAGTTTTAATTTTCAATAAGTGCAAATTTCTCTCCCCCTTTGTCAATGATGCCATCAAGACCAAAAAGAGACAAAAATGCAAAATGAAAATGATTGAAACTTGCAAATTGTAGAGTTTTGAGAGCTTTGAGAGTTATCTAAAGGCATCAAAAAGTAGACATGGATCACACAGATACAAGCATGTGCTCAAGCCTAGCTAAGCAAGTGCAAAAGAAGTATGAAACAAGTCATGAAAATCAAGAAAGTATTGTCAGCAAGCAAAAAGCTTTCAAGTGAATTAGTGATTTAGTGTGCATAGCTATTTCTAGAAGAAGCTTAAAAGGAAGCAAACCAGCTCATAATCATGCAAGATTTACATAATCAAAGCAATGAACCCATGCTAATGTGCTAATGCCCAGTTCATAAAGAGTATCAACATGATAACAAAGCATAGAACATGAGCTTTTAATCTTTTCTCATGACTTTTATTTTTATGATTTTTTAATTTCTTTAAAGACAATAGCACAATCACGACGGTCCACCTGATCTTATCAGTCAGCAAGTGATGGTTGTGCCAAACACTGCCGTCTGACCTCAATCAAGTTTTCCAGCTAGAGTTCCCATTACAGGCTGTCTCAGTGCTATCTTCGGCACTACTCATGCGTAAACGCACTCAGTAGCCTGGACAAAAACAGAGATAAATCTTGTAAAGCATGATTGATACAAAGTATGGACGCATAAGCATGAGCATTCATGAGCATGTACTGACAGTTATTGCAAAAAGAATGTAAACATGGCATGAGTATGAGATGGATACTTCAACTTAAACAAACTTCTAGAGCAAGCATTGCACATTGATTAAGTTCAAATGAATAGTCAATTTAAGCAGGTTTCAACAAGCTTGAACAGCATAACATGATCACACAAGCTACTTAAGCAAATGAAAGCTAGACAAGAGATCAAACTAGCATAAGAGTGATACATGCATAGCATAGTGATGACCAAGAGATAACAAGCAAAGCTCAATCGAAGAGTGTATAGTACAATGCATAAAGTAAACATGATGTAATATGTTACAAATGCATGCAAATGAAAAACAACTCCCCCTCAAATCAAGCCATAGGGGTGGATCACTCCTAACTCACTCCGCAAGAACTCAAACCGAGAGCGATCAAGTGGTTTTGTAAAAATGTCTGCCAATTGTTTTTCAGATTCAACAAACTCTAGCACAATGGTACCTTTCTCAACATTGTCTCGGAGAAAGTGGTACCGTATCTCAATGTGCTTGGTCCTGGAGTGTTGAACTGGATTTTTTGCAATATTGATTGCACTTGTATTATCACAAAGCAGAGGAACACCAGAGAAAGACAGACCATAATCTTTCAGAGTTGAAATCATCCAAAGAACTTGACTACATGCACTAGCAGCAGCTACGTACTCAGCCTCAGCTGTTGATTGAGCAACAGAAGATTGCTTACGAGAGGACCAAGAGACCAAAGAAGTGCCAAGAAAATGACAAGTGCCAGAAGTACTTTTGCGATCAATCTTACACCCAGCAAAATCAGCATCTGAAAAAGCTCAAACCGAAAGGGCAGAAGAGCAGGAGTACCAAATACCGTACTCAAGTGTAGACTTGATGTAGCGGAAGATGCGCTTGACTGCTTGGTGATGTGATGTTCTTGGAGAAGCCTGAAACCTTGCGCACAGGCACACGGAGAAGTGGATGTCCGGCCTTGACGCAGTCAGGTAGAGGAGGGAGCCGATCATGCTTCTGTACTCGTGCTGGTCAACTTCTTCACCGTCCTCATCAGGACCAAGCGATGAAGTAGTTGCCATGGGAGTGGCGATTGGCTTGCAGTCGGCCATGTCGAACTTCAAGAGCTCTTTGGAGTATTTGGTCTGATGTACAAAGATTCCTTCCTTGGTTTGCTTGATTTGAAGTCCAAGGAAGAAAGTCAGCTCTCCCATCATGCTCATTTCGAATTCCCTACTCATCACATAAGAAAACTGGGCAACAAGTGCATGAGAAGAGCCACCAAATATGATGTCATCAACATATATCTGGACAAGAAGAAAATCAATGCCACTATGAAGAGTAAAGAGAGTTTTATCAACTGCCCTACTTCAAAACCATTTTGAAGCAAAAAGGTTTTCAATCTTTCATACTAGGCTCTAGGTGCTTGTTTTAAACCATAAAGAGCTTTATCAAGTTTGAACACATGATTTGGAAATTTTGGATTTTCAAAACTAGGAGGTTGTTTGACATAGACCTCTTCCTCAATAACACCATTCAGAAAAGCACTTTTCACATCCATTTGAAAAAACTTGAAACCTTTTGAAGCAGCAAAAGCCAAAAGAATTCGAATGGCTTCTAATCTAGCAACTGGTGCAAAGGTTTCT